ATTTCGTCTAAAACTTACTCCATACTTCTCAAAAGATTAAAGTGCAAATGTATGCAGATGATATAAAGATATACGAAATGTACGATGCAGAAGATCGAATTGAGGTTCAATCAGCTTTACAATTGTCTCTTTCCAATCTGGTTGAATGGGCAACAACTTGGAATTTAACACTCAATCTTGACAAGAGTTGCGTACTGCATGTAGGAAATGGTTGTGCAAGTACTTGTGTGGTTGAGGATCTTGCGTTGAGGTCATGCGGCTCAGCTAGGGACCTGGGAGTGCTTGTTGATGCTAAACTAAAGTTTTCTGAACATATCGATGCTGCTGTCAGAAAGGCTTACACCTCCTTATTCGTGCTGCTGCGCACCGTAAGGAGTAACTCGCCTGCACTAGTGACGCGTCTCTACAAAGCCCTCATTCGCCCCCATCTAGAATACTTCCAAGTTTGGAATCCTGCCCGGAAAAAAGATATTTGTAAAATAGAAAAAGTGCAAAAAACATTCACGCGTCTCTTGTACAGGCGACTTTATTCTGATAACAGTATACCAGATTATAATGTACGGCTTAGAATGTTCAAATTACATAGTCTTTCTTTTGTCGCAATCTTTCAGATTTAGCGTTTTGTTTTCAAGTTTTAAAGGGTGAAAATCGGTTGAAGGCAGGTAAATATTGGATGTTCATGCCAGCTAGTGAAAGGTCGGGAGGATTTAATTTGCACTACGCCAAAGTCAAAAAGCACAATCTTGCAAAAATGCACAGTAACATATTTTGCAGGTCTGCCAGATGGTTTCAGCGGTTGCCTATGGATGTTATGTGTTCTCAGACTGCACGCTCCTTCAGGGCTAAGTTGATGAGAGCTGACACACAGTTTGCATCCCTAAGCTTTTTGGAATGATTTTAATTTTGTCGTTTTTCAGTTACCAGTTCTTTATCTTCTTGGCTTTATGACTGTTGGTATTACTAGCATGTCGGTTTTCGGTCCGCACGGTCATTTTTCGGAGCCGAGTCCTGGTGTTCTTCAGTTGCAGCTTGATTCTGTAGCCTGGTTTTATTTATTAGTTGTTACTAACCATAAGCATCATTAACTAACAACTGAACCAGCCCGGCTCATTCGTAATCAGTTTTATCACACCTTATTGCCTTAACGAAGCCTAGTTTCCCATCTAGGGCACTCCAAATTGTATCCGCCTAATGAAGTGCCTTCTTGAGTAGTTGGTGGATGTTTACTCTGCCACTCTTGATCTGAATCTTGCTTCCTCTAAAATTTAATCTTTAATGGGGTCAGGTCAGCTAGCCTTACCGGCGGGCTCGTTGACACCCAAAAATGGGGCATCTTTGATTTTAGAGTGTGCAAGATTCATGTGATTGTTTTTTGATCAAGTTACTTTCGTTCAACTTTACAAGCCGGGTCTAGAGCTTCGAGTTCTGTTTCATTCCGTATTTTCTTTTATCTTCTTTTGCGGCTGAGAACTGGCTGGTCTCATTGTTTGTTTGGATCTTCTTTTATTTCTTTGCTTTGGTGCACCTCGAGTGTATTTATAAAATAAAATAAATAAAAAAACCTGAGATAAGACAACTATACCGAAAAACCCGAATAAGTGAGAGACTTTATGCAACTGGAAACGTTCTCATCTACACCGAAGCAAAAGCATTTTCAAATGATCTACTATTTTTAGTGTGGTATTTGAGCTTGGAATTAGCTAGCACAATATTGCTATGAATCCGGTTTTTTTGAGCTGGAGCGATATGTTGGGCTTCCCATTTCAAAAGCAATGCTAAGCGTTAGTAACATTATTTGTTAAAATCGAGAATGCTCCATCACTCGTAACATTTCAACTATACTTGAACTCAACTCATTGAAAAGCACCAATCAACAGCTAGAAACTATTTTGTCTACTACGTGCTTCAGAGATGCCCCTAAATTTACAAGTAACAGTAACAGTAACATAATTAAAACAGTTCTTAAGATGGAACATCGCAAATAAACTAGGCGTGAGTTAACACATTGTGTTATCACGTACACTTCAGTACTGTAAGACGTTACGCTGCTTCAGGTTGAAGTTCTATATAATATTCAAGGAAAACCTTTTCTAACCTCAAACCGTCCTTCACTAGCAGCGGTTACCTTACCGTAGGTCACAGTCGTCGAAACAAGGCTTGAAACCTCCTTTACTGAAAAGTGGTAGGGAAACGAACTCTGCCACTTCAAGCCGATTTCGGACCACTGGTCCCTTCGCGGTGTTGTTGGATGTCGTTGAAGACCATAATTTGCGGAAGCGGCGCTGTTATGTATGTTACCAGCTGCTCTATGTCTGCTACGCGGCAGGTTCGGCTGGTATCGGCAGCTTAGCCTCCCTGTCTTCCGTTCCACTCGGCATTGTGCAAATGTGAAAATTTGCTAGTAAACTTGTTAGTTTGCACGAAACACTTCGTCTCTAAACCTATGTAGGAGGTTGATCGATGAGCACTTTGGCCTCTCAATCAAATTTGTGTTAAAATTCCAAGCAACAGACAATGCACAGTTAACAACACAGAAAGGCTGGATGTGTCCGATGACATGTGTAAGGTCTGTGTCCATGCCACAGACATGTTAATTTTTCCATGTTCATTCACCTCACATGTGTCCCATGTCCCATGTAAGGTGTATGACGGTATCACGGTGTTGGATGTGGAAGCATTCAGAGGAAGTAAGACGTGAAAAAGGCGTCAGGGTATGAAGAAAAGATGGGAGGGGGGGGGGGATTATAAGGGTGTGACTGTCATTGGATTGATATGATTGGGGGGGGGGGGGGGGGGAGCTGTAGTCGAGGTGGTGCTGGTAATATTGATGGCATGGTATTCCTTGACAGTATGACTGTATCCTCCCCCCCCCCCCCCCTCCCCCTCCCCCATTGCGCAGAATTCAAGCACACCGAGATACTGTATCATTGTACACCTGTCGGCATATAAAGAGGCCCTGCCAAGCATAATGAATACCATTCTCGTAAATATCATGTCAAACAATTCCTGTTGACCAAAATTCAGGGCAATTTTCCAAATGTAGGTCCATTCAAGTAAAGGGCCAATTTCAACCAAAATCAACTTTTCGGAAATATAATGTGTATGTGTGTATAGTGTTGAAATTAAAAACAAAAATTGTTGTGAACATCTTGATGTCTTTGTTGATTTATAAGCTAAACACATTTTTCAATAAGTTGGTCACTTTTTGCATTGGCATTTTCTCTGCCTTGGTCCACCGGGAAAGTGGCGGCAGCCACAAAAAATTTCAAGAACAAAGCAGTTATGTACAACTACAAACAAGTCATCTATATAACTCATGTAAGTAACTTTCAAGAGAGGGCCACCCTGCCCAGGTCCTCCTCCCCCTCGGTCCGCCACTGATAGGCGACTGTTTGACACATATATCGTCCGTTAAAAATTTTGTGGCAAAATCTATGGATTACGACACAATCCCAAAAAAAGGTGTGGCTGTCACACGTGTTTCGGGCTTGTGCTACATTCCTTAATGTCACGCAAAACTCAGAACGAACCAAGTATCACGAACTAATCTTGTAGTTTTCATAAAATTGGTTTAATCCTGTTCCATCCTTCATTTCTCTGAATAACATTTGCCGAATTGGAGCCACTGTCGAAAAATGCGACCTACGATATTTTGACCGGCTTCTATTTCATTGTTTGACGGCCATCTGCAGTGGGTTTAGTGCATACCAAGCAGGGGTAACTTGGTCCAGATTCGTTCATCCTGAGCGAAATACGACTGAACGAAAAGTTAGGCGATAAGGCGAGTTCGGCGAAAATGCGTTGCTATCGTATAGATAATTATTATTTGCTTCAAAAAGTGCACTACTGTATATAGTACTTCACATTTAGTCAACACGACACCTATTTCGTTTTGCACAGATTAAGTAGAAGTAGGAACAAATTACGAAACATTCTGAATTTTATCTGAATGAAAGACATGCGCATCTTGATTGGGTAAAATTTAGGGATCTCTAACTCTGCCCGGTGACAATTTCAAAAATTCTAACATCAATCTAGTCACACTTGCACACTATGGCGGCGGGCAGTGGCGTACCGGGGGGGGGCCCCCCTCCGAGAATTGGTCGCGAAATTTTCAAAAGTTACTTATATGGGTTATAAAAATGTGCAAGTAACTTGTTTATAATTGTAAATAATTAAAATAATTCTTAAAAATTTTTAAAAATTCAGTTCAGCTTTGTAAAAAAATTTTTTCGGGGGCGTGGCTGACGCCACGCCCCCTTCTTCCAGATTTTAGGGATTGGGGACCCGCAAAAATTTTGAGAAGCACCCCTAAAATTTTTTCGGAGTGCGTGGCTGACGCCACGCACCTTCATTCGAAAAAATTTTTGTCGCGCCCCTCCCCCCCCCGAACGGAAATCCTGGGTAGATCTTGTGTAGATAATCATTTGTGATTTCGTTTCATGTGAAACTCCACTCATACGTTGCTATGCATCATTTGAAGTTTATTCTGCGAGTTTCTAATTTAAACGACGCATAGACCTTCAGAGCATCTTCCTGAGCATTTCGAACATGGTGCACCTGTTTCGTAGATTTTGGCATTAAGCATGTTTCCTCTAAAATTGAAGTCTTGTTGGTGGCTTACTGAAGCGACTCTACTTACGCTTCTTTATAATTGCAGACTTCTAAGGTCATCCTTGGGCAGCTTTGAACAGCGCAACCAATGACTTTTGTAGACTGCCAGACCATCTAAATCTATGTATTTAAGAAACCATGATATTGTCTGAGATCATTTCTGCTACTAACAACAAGTAGGCAAAGACTCTTTAACGTAATTGAGAAGCTTTCAAGATGGCGCAAAGCAAGGGCATTATGTGGGAAGGGCATAGTTCATCTGCGTTGGCGCAAACTGGTGGTGGGTTTGTAGGAAGAACTAGGATATTGTATTCTCGATGATGGGAATGCAGCACTGTTTTCACCTGTGTGTAATGTCCAACTTTATTGTTGAAGAGTTTCATGCTGAACGTGAGGTCTTTGCCAACTCCGCGTTGTGCAAGCTCCCCAAACCATGATCTTGAAGCCTGTAATGATAGAAACGAGTTGCTTTCTTTAAGCGACAAGCAAAATGGCATTTTTCACATCTTCGGCAGCTTTTACTGGGTCGTACGCTGAGCCGCGCGTGTAGATGTTTTCTCCAAGATCTTCAGTATTTGAGTGCTGGAAGACACATTTAGCAGCGTGTTTCACAGCGTATTTCTACTAGAACTTTTGACGGATCTGATCGTTCATGCCTCCATTTGCGGGGCAAATACCTGGTAAAAAAGGCCTAACATTTTTAGCAATAAGCAGCACGAAGAGCTACTATACCTGCATAAGCAGTCGCGATTAGGCAGACCTGAAATGTTTATCAAATTGCTTAGTCAAAATTGAGAAAGTAGCGACTTACCAATAGAACGGAACGCATTTTGTGTGTGATGCTAGTCCTATGTGGCTGCTTTTATGCAGGTTGTGAGCTTTCACCCTTCTGACGTTGGCCATAAGGTGTGTCATCTTTGTGTCATCAATTTTGAAGATCTTCTGTTGGGATCTGTTATCATAGCTGTCTCATAAGTGAATTCTGATGTCAAATAGAACAATGAGCGAAAAAAGCAAAGCAAAAAATACCAACACCATCGACGTTGCCGATTGTTATGAATCTACCCTGTCGTAGACAAAACTCTGATATACTGCAATGACTCGGTTAGCCCCACGAATCTGAGTATATTGGTAGAGATGTTAGCCTAGTGCACACAAAGAAATATGTGATAGTTTTTCTTGTATTGATTACATTCCTATTAGACTAACAAGGGAAAAATACTTGGATGCCGTAGCCATTCATAATGATTTGTAAACCAAAAAATGCGCTTTTGAATGCTAGTTCATAGACTGTCTTTCATATCTGCGAAACGATAATCTGAATGGAGTTATGATTTTTTTTTATTGAAAGAAATTGCGTTCCTGCGGAGGGTCAAAATCATCAATAAAAAAATGTTCTCTCCTTTCCAAACGCTGAGTATGATCCAGATAGTCTAAATAAATATTACTATGTCTAAAATTTTCTTCAGTAGCATCAAACGGTAGGCTAGATCAAATCTGGTGATTTTTACTATCCAAAAGTAGGCTAAATTTTCAAGGAAAAAAGTTCATAACTTTCTTCAAAAAATCGTTTCGCAGATTTCGAGCACATATTCAGAATCTGCATTCGAAGGCGCATTTTATGGTATACAAATCATTAGGAATGGCCGCAGCATCCAACTATCCTTTCCTTGTAAGCTCCAACAGTCTAGATAGGGATCTACTCAACAGAGCCTCAAAATTTGGGTACTACAAACCGACACACTGACTATGAAAAGCAATACAGCAATGCACGCCACACTTGATCATCAGAGCAGCTATTGCTTGAAAGAAATCCGCATAGAGTAAAATGTTCAGAAAAAAGTGTTTCTTGGCGATCCAACCACCTCTAGCCTTATCCCAAATACAGATAAAAGCGCCGTTCTAGCTTCGAATGCATCCAAAGCCTATGAAGCTAATAAAACATTGCTTCTTGCTTCGATGACAGCCTAGACTTTTTCATCGATCTCATCAACGTCAATGATTTCGTTCGTACTTTTTGCAATCAATGTTCTATTTTAAATCAGAATTCACCTGATGTGCGAGGTACAGCTATGGTGACATTCCTTACACATCCCCCAGCAAATTCGTAATGGAGAGATGACACACCTTATGGCCAACGTCAGAAGGGTGAAAGCTCACAACCTGCATAAAAGCAGCCACATAGGACTAGCATCACACACAAAATGCGTTCCGTTCTATTGGTAAGTCGCTACTTTCTCAATTTTGACTAAGCAATTTGATAAACATTTCAGGTCTGCCTAATCGCGACTGCTTATGCAGGTATAGTAGCTCTTCGTGCTGCTTATTGCCAAAAATGTTAGGCCTTTTTTACCAGGTATTTGCCCCGCAAATGGCGGCATGAACGATCAGATCCGTCAAAAGTTCTTGGACGTTCACAACGAGCTAAGGTAAGAGATCTAATGAGAAGGATTTTTTGCTTTCTACGAGTTCACATCTGATGCATGCAGATCGCTGGTGGCTAATGGAAAAGCTAAAGACGGTTATGGAGGTTATGCTCCTAAAGCTGCTGCCATGAACAAATTGGTATTTTCTCTGACAACATTGATGATAGGCAGCAAGTGGTAGCGAGATATTCCAGAAGTACGATTGCGATGTGGAGAAATACGCTGTGAAACACGCTGCTAAATGTGTCTTCCAGCACTCAAATACTGAAGATCTTGGAGAAAACATCTACATGCGCGGCTCAGCGTACGACCCAGTAAAAGCTGCCGAAGATGTGAAAAATGCCATTTTGCTTGTCGCTCAAAGAAAGCAACTCGTTTCTATCATTACAGGCTTCAAGATCATGGTTTGGGGAGCTCGCACAACGCGGAGTTGGCAAAGACCTCACGTTCAGCATGAAACTCTTCAACAATAAAGTTGGACATTACACACAGGTGAAAACAGTACTGCATTCCCATCATCGAGAATACAATATCCAAGTTCTTCCTACAAAGCCACCACCACCCCGCACCCAAGAAGCAGTCGCAGCACTAGATTTGCGCCAACGCAGATGAACTATGCCCTTCCCACATAATGCGCTTGCTTTGCGCCATCTTGAAAGCTTCTCAATTACGTTAAAGAGTCTTTGCCTACTTGTTGTTAGTAGCAGAAATGATCTCAGACAATATCATGGTTTCTTAAATACATAGATTTAGATGGTCTGGCAGTCTACAAAAGTCATTGGTTGCGCTGTTCAAAGCTGCCCAAGGATGACCTTAGCAGTCTGCAATTATAAAGAAGCGTAAGTAGAGTCGCTTCAATAAGCCACCAACAAGACTTCAATTTTAGAGGAAACATGCTCAATGCCAAAATCTACGAAACAGGTGCACCATGCTCGAAATGCCCAGGAGGATGCTCTGAAGGTCTATGCATCGTTTAAAATAGAAACTCGCAGAATAAACCTCAAATGATGCATAGCAACGTATGAGTGGAGTTTCACATGAAACGAAATCACAAATGATTATCTACACAACCACGCAAAAGAGTGGTTTAGAACATAACCACAACTAATAACAACATCTGTAGTTCCTTGTTAAACTTTAGTCAATTTAATAAGATATAGAAGTCATTTTCTGCGCAAAAGTCAATCTGAATGAGCTATCGAAACCTTTAAAATTCAATGAGATACACGAGGTGTTCTCTACAATGATATTTTTGCATATACGTTTCTGTTCTTAAAGCAAATTACATGGTCTTACTACCGTAATCTTTATCTGAATTCCTTTCGAATGGTATCCCGATGACGCTCCCAAGAGTCTTCCAAAAAATGCTTATGTACCTTCCAAGTTTCATGCCGTATGGTCATCTGTGCTCTGCAAACGAGCCATTTGAATTCACTTCTTCATTTACCAGTTTTGCAATATTTTTGGAAAAAATGCTTATTACACCTCCCACTCACATACACTTTTCATAATATTACAAACTTTGTTTCTACTAGCCTTTTTTCGTGCGCTTACGTAAGTTGATGCTATATCGTTACGCCTGCATTGAGAACTGATCATGTAATCATGCTGTTAAACGGCACCGCTTATGCGACGTCGCGCACGCGGCAATTAGCGGCCGCGGCGTAGCGCGCGCGAACTCTGCTGTGCGTTGAGGCTTAAGGAAACCACTTCCCAGTGAACTAGATGTATAAGGTAATAAGCGGCCATTACAATTTATATATACTTTAGATAAGCCCTGCTACTGCTGTACGAAATCTGGTGTTATCTTGTAAACTGCGGATTTTCTTATGATTTTATGTATGGTAGCAAAAAATGAGAAAAGGGGGGTCGTATTTGCGCCTGATCTAAATTTCTTCGGAGCTATTGAAGCTTGTTAGCTGCAAACTTGCTGTAATACGAGGCCATCCTTCCAGTTTTTATCATAAGAATATCAGGCTGTTTTATAAATTCTCTGGTAAGTTACAAAATTTTGAGCTCAAAAATTCCAGTTTTTGCTTTTTAGGATCGCATCTAAATTTGAGAGCCTGATTTAAATTTTTTTGAGCTCACTGCTTCTCAGGGGCTGAAACTATTTTTATGAATAGGCACTATGCTACAGAACCTGTTTTTTGCAGGCTCTCAGTCTTTTCCTGGCCTTATTTACGAATTTTCAAACTACCGTGCTCATGCACGTTTTTGACGTCATCGTTCTTCATCGCTAAAGCGGTTTTTTTTCGCAGGAAAAACTGTGGAAGAGGTAAGAACTGAGCTTCTTAGTCGAAAACATCCTTTGTAGTTCAAGAATAACATTTTGTTCTCCGTGTAAAAATTTGTGTCGCATACGGGAATCGAATTTGCTGACCTGAAGTAGGCCTGAAAATTCAAAAGTAAACTTGCGGAATCTCAAACATTATTGAAGGTATGTATATGTGCTAGAGATGCTGGGCGCACCCACTGGCCTAGAAGTTCTGCTTTCGAAACCTCACTGAAGTTCTCATGCAGGTGTTTTTTAAGATTGACATTCTTTTATGCAGGTTTACGAGAAATGTGGGCAGGGGAGGTAAGGGGGATAGATGGGGGAGGGGGAAGGAAGGGGGGAGGGCGGGAAAGGGGGGGGGGGGTCGCACGGATGGGTACCCTTAAGGGGGGGAGGTCGTAAATGAGGGTCCAGGATCGCATCAACATGCTTGACCCTGCTTGGAATCTTCTTCTGGAGCTCCGCCCCTACCCCGAAAAAACGATTTCCCCTTGCTTTTTCTACCAAAAACAATCTCCAGCTTGTCATTTGCCCATCGTGCCGGGCCCTGTTCAGGACTTCGAAAGTTTATTATTGGTCCTTCTGGACGAGCTAATCCAAAACTACCGTATGTCCACAAATTACATTGCTAAATTGAAATTTCTCAAAAGAAAAAAAAATTCGGTTGCAATTTTCAAGAAATAAGGATTCTTCTTCCTTTAGCCTATATTTTCCATCCAGTTAACTTATCAGTTCCAAGATAGCCGAAAAGGAAGAAGGTATCATTTAACTTCGCTAGGGAGGAAAGTGGTAACTCTAGATAGCTATTGAGCTAATCTTTATTAAAGGCCTGCACGCGTTCACCTGCCTCTTCGAATACGAGGTAAAGGAAATTCATCGACGACTGCCCCGGCTCGTGCAACTACACC